CCAACACTGTAAGTCTTTAAGAAGAGATTGGACAACCATTTGTCTGAAGTGGTGTAGGGTTTCCTGCCTAAGCAGGGGGTTGGACTAGAAGACCTCCAAGGTCCCTTCCGACTCTTGTTGTTCTATCCTATATCAATCTGGGTGTCGAAACTACATACCAATCTAAATGCACATCCATGTCACTCCAACCCCCATGGTTCCCTGCTTGACCAACTGTACGAGGGTAATCCAGCCAGTGCAAAAAAAAAAAAAATTACAGGCAGTCCTCAACTTACAACAGTTCATTTAGTGACCGAAGTTGCAACAACACTGATAAAAAAGTCACTTATGACGGTTCGTCATGCTTAATAATAACAGCCCCACAGTCAAAAAGTGTTCAAACTTCAGAGGCTTGGCAACTGACTGACTGACTGACATTTTATTTTATTTTATTTTATTTTATTTTATTTTATTTTATTATTTTATTTTATTATTTTATTTTATTTTATTATTTTATTTTATTTTATTATTTTATTTATTATTTTATTTTATTTTATTTTATTTTATTTTATTTTATTTTATTTTATTTTATTTTATTTTATTTATTTTATTTTATTTTATTTTATTTTAAACAAGTTTTATTGGTGTCGTCCCCCCCCACATTTCCCCACATCGTTTTTGAACAGAGTATTGGCCATTTCTTGTCTTAATCAATTAATTAAAATTCAAATATATTTTACTCAATTACAATTCTTGCCAAAATCTTCTTCCTCCCCCCCTTTTTTAAAATCATATCTCACTATTTCTATGCTTACTTACAATTGCAACCGACTCGTATTTATGACGGTCGCAGTGCCCCGGGGGGGTGTCACGTGATTCCCTTTTGCAACCTTCTGACAAGGAAAGTGGACATGGAGAAGAAACAAGATTCACTTAACAACCATGTGACTTGCTTAACGACCGCAAATGACAAACCAAAGGAGGCAAAATGCGCCTGACGAATCCCTCGCTTAGCAACAGAAATTTTGAGCTCAGTTGTGGTTGTAAGTTAGTTAGTTAGTTAGTTAGTTAGTTAGTTAGTTTGTTTGTTTGTTTGTTCGATTTATATGCCGCCCTTCTCCGGAGACTCAGGGCGGCTTACAATGTGTTAAGCAATAGCCTTCATACTTTTGTATATACCTGCTTAGTAGGGCTTTCGGCCCCTAAGTGGTGTTCTTTTTTATGCAAAGTCAGCTTATTGCCCCCACAATCCGGGTCCTCATTTTACCTACCTCGGAAGGATGGAAGGCTGAGTCAACCTTGAGCCTTGGCGAGATTCGAACTTACAGTAATTGCAGGCAGCTGATGTTAATAACAGTGCTTTAGTCTGCTGCGCCACCAGGGCTCTTTAAAGCTTTAAGTTGAGGATTAGCTATAAAGGCACAGGTATTTCACGCACATTACAACTCTCCCTTTAACCAACTATAGGAGAACTCGGGAGGATAATTCAGCCGGTGCACAAATTACACACCCGACAACCAGAATCTGCACACCACCACGTTTGCAAAGGACACACAACCGATTTCGAGCTGTGAGCACGGTGGGTGTGTTGTTGTGACCCCCATTGAACAAGCTTTGTTGCGGGAGGAAATCCAGGGAACGTGCCGATTAAGGCTTAAAAGCAAAACCAAAAAAAAAGAAAAAAGAAAGGAAGAAAGAATTAATTACGGCACAATTGGGCTTCTAACCAGCCACCCCCTGCGTTTTCCCCTTATAAAACCCTGAAAAATGGAAACAAGAGGGGCTTAAAACGCATGTGCTGTTTAAAGACGGATGAACTAAGCTGGCCGCGCGCCCCGGGGGTTTCACAAATACCCCATTCAGACACAGCGGGACGCGAACAAGAGTGCCTGTGATGGCAGGGCCAGAAACAAATGCAAGCATATGGAATTGTCGTGTACGGAGAGAGAGAGAGAGAAAAAAAATAACACATCTGACTTTCCTTTCGGGGAGGATCTGAGTGTTCGCCAGCAGGAGGGGGGCTCGGCTTTAAGCCGATTCCCTGCATTCCCCCATAGCAGGAATTTTTATCGGAGAGGGTCATAGCAGGGCTGTCTGTTTGGAAGTCAGTAATTTTAAGAGGCGTGGACTTCAGCTCCCAGAATTCCCCAGCCAACAATGCTTTAAGAGGGGTGGACTTCCACTCCCAGAATCCCCCAGCCAGCAATGCTTTAAGAGGGGTGGACTTCCACTCCCAGAATCCCCCAGCCAGCATGCTTTAAGAGGGGTGGACTTCCACTCCCAGAATCCCCCAGCCAGCTTGCTTTAAGAGGGGAGGACTTCCACTCCCAGAATCCCCCAGCCAGCAATGCTTTAAGAGGGGTGGACTTCCACTCCCAGAATCCCCCAGCCAGCTTGCTTTAAGAGGAGTGGACTTCCACTCCCAGAATCCCCCAGCCAGCATGCTTTAAGAGGGGTGGACTTCCACTCCCAGAATCCCCCAGCCAGCAATGCTTTAAGAGGGGTGGACTTCCACTCCCAGAATCCCCCAGCCAGCAATGCTTTAAGAGGGGTGGATTTCCACTCCCAGAATCCCCCAGCCAGCAATGCTTTAAGAGGGGTGGACTTCCACTCCCAGAATCCCCCAGCCAGCTTGCTTTAAGAGGGGAGGACTTCCACTCCCAGAATCCCCCAGCCAGCTTGCTTTAAGAGGGTGGACTTCCACTCCCAGAATCCCCCAGCCAGCAATGCTTTAAGAGGGGTGGACTTCCACTCCCAGAATCCCCCAGCCAGCATGATTCATTCATTCATTCATTCATTCATTCATTCATTCATTCATTCATTCATTCAATTTGTATGCCGCCCCTCTCCGAAGACTCAGGGCGCGGTGGATCTTCAACTCTTGAAAAGACTTTCTGACAAGCAGTCAATGGGCCGAAAATCAGCTGGCTGGCGCACGCATGTGCGCTGGAGCTGAGGTAGGGCAATGCTCGCGTGCCCACAGATATGACTCCGTGCGCCACCTGTGGCACACGGCTCTAGACTGACCAAGCCCAAATCCTGCAACCGTTCTTCATATAATTTTTAGTCTCCAGGCCTTTAATCATCTTAGTTGCTCTTCTTTGCACATTTTCCCCCCTCCAAATTTTTTTTTTTTTGTAATATAGTGACCGAAACCAGATGCAGGAATCCAGATGTGGCCTTGCCAAAGTTTGTTTTATTTATTTATTTATTTATTTATTTATTTATTTATTTATTTATTTATTTATTAAATTTGTATACCGCCCTTTATAAAGCGGTACTAATAGTTGGCGTGCTTTTGATTCTATGCTTCTGTTTATACCTTCTGTATGTTGGGACACGATGCAAATCACCCCTTTTAAAACGGGGATCGCTGGAGAAAATTTTTTAACCGTGGGGCGCCGCAGATAAGCAAGAAAGAAAGAGGGCAGAGCACAAAATATTCAGGCTACGGCACGTCGCGTTGATCCGGGGTGGAGCAGGGTTTCCACATTTTGTTCCAAATTATGATTCCGTAATTTGCAGTGTCATGTCCTAAAATTCCATACCGTGGCAGGAGGCTTTCACGCAAAACATGTTTTCCTTCGCTGGGCGCACGGCTCAACAATATTGCTGAGCACATTGTAAGCCGCCCTGAGTCTTCGGAGAAGGGCGGCATATAAATCAAATTAAAAAAAAACAAAACAAAACCCTCGGGAGTTAAAAGAGTGCAGACTTCATATAAATCCATTTCTTTTCTTTTTTTTTTTAAATTTAATTTATATGCCGCCCTTCTCCGGAGACTCAGTATATATTTATTTATATTTATATATTTATACAAAGTCAGCTTATTGCCCCCACAAACTGGGTCCTCAATTTACCTACCTTAGAAAGGATGGAAGGCTGAGTCAACCTTGAGCCTGATGAGATTCGAACTTGCAGTAATTGCAGGCAGCTGGTGTTAAATTACAGTGCTTAGTCTGCAGAGCTATCCAGCTATCCTTTCTTAAACCAGCAGGAATCTAAATTCAGCCTCCTCGCGTTGCTGACATCCACCATCCCCACAAATGTCTCTTTTGCAATAATGAGGACTAGAAACTTCAGTACTTTAACAAAAAAACTATGCATTCGCCACCCGTTAGTATCTCTGCCATAAGGACTAGAAACTTCATTGGATTTAAGTACTTCTACAGAAAATGACACTTCCACCAGGAAATTGTCTCCACAAGTATCTTTTTTTGCAATCATGAGGACTAGAAACTTCCTCAGACTTAAGTACTTTTATGTAAAACTACACTTCCACATTGTCCCCATAAGTGTCTCTTGGCAATGAGGACTAGAAACTTCATCGGACTTAAGTACTTTGACAGAAGACTATACTTCCACCAGGAGATTGTATCCACAAGCATCTCTTTGCAATCACAAGGAGTAGAAGCTTCACCAGACTTACTGTAAGTACTTTTATGTAAAACTACACTTCCACATTTTCCCCATAAGTATCTCTTGGCAATGAGGACTAGAAACTTCATCAGACTTAAGTACTTTTACAGAAGACTACACTTCCACCAGGAGATTGTCTCCAGAAGTATTTCTTTGCAATCACGAGGAGTAGAAACTGCATCAGACTTAAGTACTTTTACAGAAAACTACATTCCCATTAGCCAATTGTCCCCACAGGTATCTCTTTACAATCACAAGGACTAGAAACTTTGCCAAACTTAAGTACTTTTACAGAAGACTACACTTCCACTAGCATCTGGTCCGCAGAAGTATCTTTTTGCCCCCAGAAGTTTCTCTTTACAATCACGAGGACTATAAACTTCACCAAACGTAACTACTTTTATAGAAGACTTCACTTCCACTAAGAACTGGTCCTCTTTGCAATCATGAGGACTAGAAACTTCATGAGGCCTAAGTACTTTTATAGCAAACTACCCTTCCATCCATCAGATTTTTTTTGCTCCATTCTTGCTTGTTGGCAAAAGAGAAACAAACGACAGCAAAATCCGATTATATTGGGGAGTGTGAGGCGGTTTGCATACCTACAAAAAGGACAAGACAAGGACCCTCGTTCAGCTGGACAGCGTTGGAGTCGGTCAGCTCTAAGACAGGCTTGGGGTGCCAGGGGAACTCCTGGCATTCAATGTCATTCAGGACCTCGACTCGGCCCTGTCTGGTGATGACGTCTCCCTTAGTGTCCAAGACGATGAGAGTAGGGATACCTGCGATCGGACAAGACGAAAAACAAACCAAGATAAAGAGAGGGTTTAAGGAGGAAGAGAAAGTAAGCACACGCCGTGTCATATTATGTGCTATATTTCACATCGCCCGGTACTTAGTCAAACAGGGGCTGGTGGCTCAGCAGACTGATAGCATTGTGATTATCACCAGCTGTCTGCAATTACTGTAAGTTCGAATCTCACCAGGCTCAAGGTTGACTCAGCCTTCCATCCTTTCTAAGGTGGGTAAAATGAGGACCCAGTTTGTGGGGGCAATAAGCTGACTTTGTATAAAAAATATACAAAAGGATGAAGGCTGTTGCTTAGCGCATTGTAAACCGCCCTGAGTCTCCGGAGAAGGGCGGCATATAAATCAAATTAAAAACAAAAACAAAAACATTGTGCTAAAAAGTCAAGATATACTACGTCGACACAGCATTCCCACAATCCATTAAGAAAATTATTCCATTCAAAAAAGCAATGCAATTAATCAGATAAATTTCTGATTTTGACAGACTTGGGCGCATTATTAATCTGAGATCAATAAAATTCTGTTACTAAATTTTGATGGAATAAAAGGGTTTTTTTTTAATTTTTACATTAATTTTCCAGTCATGGGGTAATGGTCATTTTACAGGTAAAAAACTCTTTTCCCTTCAAGAAATCATAAGGGTCCCATAAGGTCCATCCCTCTTAAAGCAGGCAGGCTGGGGGATTCTGGGAGTGGAAGTCCATCCCTCTTAAAGCATGGCTGGCTGGGGAATGCTGGGAGTGGAAGTCCATCCCTCTTAAAGCAGGCAGGCTGGGGGATTCTGGGAGTGGAAGTCCATCCCTCTTAAAGCATGCTGGCTGGGGGATTCTGGGAGTGGAAGTCCATCCCTCTTAAAGCAGGCAGGCTGGGGGATTCTGGGAGTGGAAGTCCATCCCTCTTAAAGCAGGCAGGCTGGGGGATTCTGGGAGTGGAAGTCCATCCCTCTTAAAGCAGGCAGGCTGGGGAATTCTGGGAGTGGAAGTCCATCCCTCTTAAAGCAGGCTGGCTGGGGAATGCTGGGAGTGGAAGTCCATCCCTCTTAAAGCATGCTGGCTGGGGGATTCTGGGAGTGGAAGTCCATCCCTCTTAAAGCATGCTGGCTGGGGGATTCTGGGAGTGGAAGTCCATCCCTCTTAAAGCAGGCTGGCTGGGGGATTCTGGGAGTGGAAGTCCATCCCTCTTAAAGTAGGCTGGCTGGGGGATTCTGGGAGTGGAAGTCCATCCCTCTTAAAGCATGCTGGCTGGGGGATTCTGGGAGTGGAAGTCCATCCCTCTTAAAGCAGGCTGGCTGGGGGATTCTGGGAGTGGAAGTCCATCCCTCTTAAAGTAGGCTGGCTGGGGGATTCTGGGAGTGGAAGTCCATCCCTCTTAAAGCAGGCTGGCTGGGGAATTCTGGGAGTGGAAGTCCATCCCTCTTAAAGCAGGCTGGCTGGGGGATTCTGGGAGTGGAAGTCCATCCCTCTTAAAGCATGCTGGCTGGGGGATTCTGGGAGTGGAAGTCCATCCCTCTTAAAGCAGGCTGGCTGGGGGATTCTGGGAGTGGAAGTCCATCCCTCTTAAAGCAGGCTGGCTGGGGGATTCTGGGAGTGGAAGTCCATCCCTCTTAAAGTAGGCAGGCTGGGGGATTCTGGGAGTGGAAGTCCATCCCTCTTAAAGCATGCTGGCTGGGGGATTCTGGGAGTGGAAGTCCATCCCTCTTAAAGCAGGCTGGCTGGGGGATTCTGGGAGTGGAAGTCCATCCCTCTTAAAGCATGCTGGCTGGGGGATTCTGGGAGTGGAAGTCCATCCCTCTTAAAGCAGGCTGGCTGGGGAATTTTGGGAGTGGAAGTCCTCCCCTCTTAAAGTAGGCAGGCTGGGGGATTCTGGGAGTGGAAGTCCATCCCTCTTAAAGCAGGCTGGCTGGGGGATTCTGGGAGTGGAAGTCCATCCCTCTTAAAGCAGGCTGGCTGGGGGATTCTGGGAGTGGAAGTCCATCCCTCTTAAAGCAGGCTGGCTGGGGAATGCTGGTAGTGGAAGTCCATCCCTCTTAAAGCATGCCAGATGGGGAATTCTGGGAATCGAAGTCCAGCCCTCTTAAAGCAGACTCGCTGGGGAATTCCATGCACTGAAGTCCAAGTATCTTAAAAGTTGCTGATAAACATTGGTTGACTGTACAGGTAGTCCTCGACTTATGACCCCAATTGAGCCCAAAATTCCTGTTGCTAAGCAAGACATTTGTTAAGCGAGCTTGGCCCCATTTTACAACCTTTTTTTTTACCACAGTTGTTACGTGAATCACTGCAGGGGATGACAGGACCCTGGGACACTGCAACCCATATCATAAATATGAGTCCGTTCTCACGTAGCCGAATTTTGATCACATGGCCACGGCGATGCTGAAACGGTCGTGAGTTTTAAAAATGGTCATGTCACTTTTTTCAGTGATGTTGAAAAAATGAACTTGTTGGAAGTCAAGGAGTAGCTGTATAGGCAATTTTTGCAGAAATCTGTGTGGATCTGTGCGTCTTTGGACTAACTAACCAATGCCTCTGGAGTGAAGAGGGAGATTTGAGCCTCTTCTGCCTTACTCCGCTCACTGCACTTCAGGACCCACAGCCTGTCTGTGCAATTAATGGCTGGGATTTTCCTTGTGCAAAGGGCCTGCAACGTAGGGCAGGGGGGGTGTCCTCTCTCCATTGCGATAATTCAGATTTGCTGGAATCAGACGGCATGTTTGATTCTCAGAGAAAAGGATGGAGGAGGGAGGGAGGAAGGAAGGGAGGAGGAAGGGAGGAAGGAAGGAGGAGAAAGGGAGGAAGGAAGGAGGAGAAAGGGAGGAAGGAAGGAGGAATGGAGGAAGGAAAGGAGGAGGAAAGGAGGAAGGGAGGAGGAGAGAGGGAGGGAGGAAGGAAGGAAAGAAGGAGGAGGAGGAAGGAAGGAGAGAGAAGGGTGGAAGGAAGGGAGGGAGGGAGGAGGAAGGAAGGAAGAAGAGGAAGGAAGGAAGGGAAGAAGGAAGGAAAAGAGGGAGGGAGGAAGGAGGAAGGAAGGAGGAGGAAGGAAGGAGGAAGGGAGGAAGGAAGGGGGAGGGAGGAAGGAAAAGAGGAGGAAGGGAGGAAGGAAGGAGAGAGAAGGGTTGAAGGAAGGGAGGGAGGGAGGAGGAGGAGGAAGGAAGGGAGGGAGGAGGAAGGAAGGAGGAAGGGAGGAAGGAAAGGAGGAGGAAAGGAGGAAGGAAGGAGGAGAGAGGGAGGAAGGAAGGGAGGAGGAGGAGAAAGGAAGGAGAGAGAAGGGTGGAAGGAAGGGAGGAGGAAGGAAGCGAGGAGGAGAGAGGGAGGAAGGAAGGAAGGAGGAGGGAGGAAGGAGGAGGAGGAGGAGGAAGAAGGAAGGAAGGAAAGGAGGGAGGAAGGAAGGAGGAGGAAGGGAGGAAGGAAGGAGGAGGAGGAAGGAAGGAGGAGGAGGAAGAAGGAAGGAAGGAAAGGAGGGAGGAAGGAAGGAGGAGGAAGGGAGGAAGGAAGGAGGAGGAGGAAGGAAGGAGGAGAAAGGGAGGACGGAAGGAAGGAGAGAGAAGGGTGGAAGGAAGGGAGGGAGGAGGAAGGGAGGGAGGAAGGAGGAGGAAAGAAGGAAGCAAGAAAGGAGGAAGGCAGGGAGGAAGGGAAGGAGGAAGGAAGGAGGAGGAGGAAGGAAGGAGGAGGAAGGGAGGAAGGAAGGAGGAAGAAGGGAGGGAGGGAAGAAAGAAGAAAGAAGGGAGGGAGGAAGAGAGGAAGGAAACCTGCAAAAGGCTTGGGGGGGGATTGCAGATTTTAAGATCGGTTGGGGAAAGAAGGTGCCCCCAAAAGAAGTCGCAGCCTTTCTATTTTAGCCCTTCTGGATCTTGGAGACTCTTTTTTTTCTGTCTCTTCTTCTCTTGCTGTCAAAGCCACAAATTGCCGGAAGAAACCCGATCCAGGTTAGGAGGAGCAGCCCGTCCGTCCGGAGCAGCCACCTGTTCTTCAGCTGCTCTGGAATCGGATTTCCTGCCGGATGGATGCGGCGGCCACGGCCCTCCCCTCCCTGCCCTTCCCTTCCCTTCCTCCCTCTTCGGCAGGGAGGGCCAAACCGCAACCACAACAGGCTGCCCGTGGACCGCTTGCGTGATGCCGCAGCCGAAAAGGCAAATGCGATTCTTGGCTGATTTTAAGAGAACCCGGATTCCCCAGGAGGAAGGAAAACCTCCCCCCCCCATTCACAGATGAGCTAAAATACGGCATTCCCCCCCCCCCAAAAAAAACCCCAGGGATGAAATGCTCCTGGTTCGGACCGGATCGCCCGATCCGGTAGCGATGGAGGCGGGTGGTTCGGAGAACCGGTAGCAAAAATCCCTGCCCCCCCACCCCATTGCCCAGCTGAGCCGCGCAATCATCAGAGGCTTTTTTAAATTATTTTTAAAAGCATTTTTTCTACAACCTCTTTGGCCAAAAAAATGCTTTTAAAAGTAAAAAAAAAAAGCCTCTGATGATCGCGCAGCTCAGCTGGGATCTTCAGAGGCTTTTAAAAGCATTTTTTCTACAACCACTTTGGCCAAAAAAATGCTTTTAAAAGTAAAAAAAAAAAAAAGCCTCTGATGATCGCGCGGCTCAGCTGGGATCGTCAGAGGCTTTTAAAAGCATTTTTTCTACAACCACTTTGGCCAAAAAAAAATGCTTTTAAAAGTAAAAAAAAAAGCCTCTGATGATTGCGTGGCTCAGCTGGGATCATCAGAGGCTTTTAAAAGCATTTTTTCTACAACCTCTTTGGCCGAAAAAATGCTTTGAAAAGTAAAAAAAAAAAAGCCTCTGATGATCGCGCGGCTCAGCTGGGATCATCAGAGGCTTTTAAAAGCATTTTTTCTACAACCTCTTTGGCCGAAAAAATGCTTTGAAAAGTAAAAAAAAAAAAGCCTCTGATGATTGCGTGGCTCAGCTGGGATCATCAGAGGCTTTTAAAAGCATTTTTTCTACAACCTCTTTGGCCGAAAAAATGCTTTGAAAAGTAAAAAAAAAAAAGCCTCTGATGATCGCGCGGCTCAGCTGGGATCATCAGAGGCTTTTAAAAGCATTTTTTCTACAACCTCTTTGGCCGAAAAAATGCTTTGAAAAGTAAAAAAAAAAAAGCCTCTGATGATGGCGCAGCTCAGCTGGGATCGTCAGAGGCTTTTAAAAGCATTTTTTCTACAACCTCTGGCTGAAAAAATGCTTTTAAAAGTAAAAAAAAAAAAGCCTCTGATGATCGCACGGCTCAGCTGGGATCATCAGAAGCTTTTAAAAGCATTTTTTCTACAACCTCTTTGGCTGAAGAGGTTATAGAAAAAATGTTTTTAAAAGGAAAAAAAAGCCTCTGCCGATCAGGCAAGTCAGCTGGATCGTCAGAGGCTTTTAAAAGCATTTTTTCTACAACCTCTTTGGCCAAAAAAAAAATGCTTTTAAAAGTTAAAAAAAAAGCTTCTGATGATCGCATGGCTCAGCTGGGATCGTCAGAGGCTTTTAAAAGCATTTTTTCTACAACTTCTTCGGCTGAAGAGGTTATAGAAAAAATGTTTTTAAAAGGAAAAAAAAGCCTCTGCCGATCAGGCAAGTCAGCTGGGATCGTCAGAGGATTGAAAAGCATTTTTTCTACAACCTCTTTGACCCCCCCCCAAAAAATGCTTTTAAAAGTTAAAAAAAAAAAAAGCCTCTGATGATCGCACAGCTACAACCTTTTTGGCTGAAGAGGTTAAAGAAAAAATGTTTTTAAAAGGAAAAAAAAGCCTCTGCCGATCAGGCAAGTCAGCTGGGATCGTCAGAGGCTTTTAAAAGCATTTTTTCTACAACCTCTTTGGCCAAAAAAAAATGCTTTTAAAAGTTAAAAAAAAAGCTTCTGATGATCGCATGGCTCAGCTGGGATTGTCAGAGGCTTTTAAAAGCATTTTTTCTACAACCTCTTCGGCTGAAGAGGTTATAGAAAAAATGTTTTTAAAAGGAAAAAAAAGCCTCTGCCGATCAGGCAAGTCAGCTGGGATCGTCAAAGGCCTTAAAAGCATTTTTTTTTACAACTTCTTCAGTCAAAGAGGTTGTAGAAAAAATGGTTTTAAAAGTTAAAAAAAAAAAGTTGGCCACGCCCACTCAGTCATATTACCACCCCCAAGCCATGCCCACAGAACCGGTAGTAAAGAATTTTACATTTCACCACTGAAAACCCCCCGGTTCCTTAGCAGAGAAAGTTCAAAGCATCCCAAGCCACGTTATCACCCTCCAGGCAGTCCTCGACTTACAACAATTCATTTAGTGACCGTTCCAAGTTACAACGGCACTGAAAAAAAAAGGGACTTAGGACCATTATCCACACTTACGACCGTTGCAGGATCCCCCACGTTCATGTGGTCAAGATTCAGGCGCTTGGAGACTGACTCGTATTTATGACGGTTGCGGTGTCCCGGGATCACGTGATCCCCTTTTGCGACCATTTTGACAAGCCAAGCCCATGGGAAAGCCAGATTCACTTAACAACCGTGTGACTAACTTAACAACCGCAGCGATTCGCTTAACAACGGTGGCAAGAAAGGTCATCAAATGGAGCAAAACTCATTTAATGAATGTTTCACTTAGCATCGGAAATGTTTTTAGTTCGATTGTGGCCGTAAGTTGAAGACCAGCTGTACACTGCAGGATTGTTGTGTGAATAACGCAATTTGACATTTTCAGGCTTTCTGGGGCCCTGGGAGGCCTCCAAGCAGCATGTTCTCCAAGTGATGTTTCAGTGTCTCCTTTGCAGGGTTGTTGTAAGGATGATTGTTCTAATGGACAGCTAGTCCTCTACTTACGACCATAATTCAGCCGGGCAATAACAGTTGCACGGCGAGTCATAGAGACATCGAAAATAGGTGGCATGAAAAGAGCTAGTAAGGCATCGAGTCTGCCCTTTGCGTTTCTAAATTTGTTTATTTTTTTAAATTTTTGACGAACGATGGAAGCGTTCTGATTTTATGACCTTTATATTTATAATACGCTGTTATTTTTCATTTTGGTTAGGAAAGAAGCTAGAACAGATGGGCCAGTCCAGAAAAAGAAAGAGAGAGCAAGAGAGCGAGAGATAGGTAGGGAGAGAGAGAGAGAGAGAGGGAGAGAGGGAGGGGAGGCAGGGGAGAGAGAGAGAGAGAGAGAGCAGGAGGAAGGGAGGGGGAGAGAGAGAGGATGGAGGAAGGGAGGGAGGGAGATAGAGAGGGAGGGAGGGAGAGAGAGAGAGCGGGAGGGAGGGAGGGAGAGAGAGAGCGAGAGAGCAAGAGAGAGCGGGAGAGAGAGAGAGTGCAGGAGGGAGGGAGAGAGAGAGAGGAGCGCGGAGAGGAGAGAGAAAGAGAGAGAGCGGGAGGGAGGGAGGAGAGAGAGCAGGAGGAGAGAGAGGGAAGGAGGGAGGGAGAGAGAGAGAGAGCGGGAGAAAGAGACAGAGCGGGGAGGGAGGGAGAGAGAGAGAGCAGGAGGGAGAGAGAGGGAAGGAGGGAGGGAGAGAGAGAGAGCAAGAGAGAGAGCGGGAGGGAGGGAGAGAGAGAGAGAGCAGGAGGGAGAGGGAGAGAGAGCAGGAGGGAAGGAGAGAGAGAGAGCGGGACGGAGGGAGAGAGAGAGAGTGGGAGGAGAGAACGAGAAAGAGAGAGAGCGGGAGGGAGAGAGAGAGCGGGAGGTAGGTAGGGAGAGAGAGAGCAGGAGGGAGAGGGAGAGAGGGAGGGAGGGAGAGAGCGGGAGGGAGGGAGAGAGAGCGGGAGGTAGGTAGGGAGAGAGAGAGAGCAGGAGGGAGAGGGAGAGAGGGAGGGAGGGAGAGAGAGAGCGGGAGGGAGAGAGAGAGAGTGGGAGGAGAGAGCGAGAGAGAAAGAGAGAGAGTGGGAGGGAGAGAGAGAGAGCGGGAGGTAGGTAGGGAGAAAGAGAGAGAGCAGGAGGGAGGGAGAGAGAGAGGGAGGGAGAGAGAGAGCAAGAGAGAGAGCGGGAGGGAGGGAGGGAGAGAGAGAGAGCAGGAGGTAAGTAGGGAGAGAGAGAGAGAGCAGGAGGGAGGGAGAGAGAGAGAGCGGGAGGTAGGTAGGGACAGAGAGAGAGCAGGAGGGAGAGGGGACTGGCAACTGACTCTATTTATGACGGTCGCAGCGTCCCGGGGTCACGTGATCCCCTTTTGCGACCTTCTGTGAAGCCATAAGTCAATGGTGGGGAAGCCGGATTCACTTAACAACCAGGTGACTAACTTAACGACGGCAGCGATTCACTGAACAAGAGTGGCAAGAGGATAGGTGCAAAAGCTAAGGAAATATCGAAGAAAGAAGACTTTTGTATTTATGTATTTTATTTTGTGCCTGTTCACCGCTCTGAGTCCTTCGGGAGTAGGGCGGTATATAAATCTAATAATAATTATAATAAAAAAAGACTTGGGAGTTGGAAAAGTGTAATAAACCTGTATAAATATATATGAAAAAAAAAATAATAATAGTGGCAGGAACGGCGGTTAAACGGGGTGAAACTCACTTAACAACGGAAACGTTGGCTTTATTGACCTGTACGCCGTATCTGGAGGAAAATATACTTGAAACTTGGAGGCAAAATCCTTGCTGTCATTCTAGATCAGTGTTTCTCAAGCTGGGTTTATTTGAAGAGGGATGGACTTCAACTCCCAGAATCCCCCAGCCAGCCTGCTTTAAGAGGGGTGGACTTCCCTCTTAAAACAAGCTGGCTAAGGAATCCTGGGAAATGAAGTCCTCCATCTTAAAACAAGCTGGCTGGGGAATTCTGGGAGTTGAAGTCCTCCATCTTAAACAAGCTGGCTGGGGAATCTGGGAATTGAAGTCCTCCCTCTTAAAGCAGGCTGGCTGGGGGAATTCTGGGAATTGAAGTCTCCCCTCTTAAGCAGGCTGGCTGGGGAATTCTGGGAGTTGAAGTCCCCCCCTCTTCAAATAACCAAGCACGACAAAGGCTACTCCAGTGGCTGAATTGGACACAATCTGGACAACCGGATGATTTCTGATCTTTTTTTCCCCTTTATTCTTCTCCTGCTGCTGTGGTCATTTTGGACAAAAAGGCTATTTTTTTTTTAAACCACAAAGTGTAAATCAAAGAAAATAATAATAATAATAAAGATATGAGTTGGAAGGTGGTAAACCCAACAGAATGCTGACCGGAAAAAAAAAATCTTATTTGCTGCTATGGCTTAAAAGCCACTGAGCAATCTCACTCCAAGCCAAAGTGAGAAGAGCGAGTGGGAGATCTTTTGGCCAGCGGGAAAAGAAAGGAAATTTCCCCTTTTTTTGCACGGGGAAAGTTCAGCCTCCTCTGACACGGCCAGTCAATTAATGGTTGGTGGAAAAGCCGTTATTAGAAGGGAAGGAATAGAGTTTCCATCTATCAAGGTTCCCCACGCCCCCAATATTTTTATTTTTCCTATGATGAAAGTGTTGGCGTGCCTCGGTTGCAAAGATATCAAGATTAATGGACCTTCGAGATGAACGCGGTATTTTGGCAGAGAGGTGGTGTTCTGGAAGGAAGCTGCATCTGCAAATTCAGGAGGAGGAAGAGGAGGAGGAGGAAGACGATGACGATGTGGCTCTGAGCTGGGTGCTTTTCTTGCAAACGTTACATGACCCAACTAGGGAACATCATCAGTGCTAGAAGGAGGAGGAGGAGGAGGAGGAGGAGGAGGAGGAGGAGGAGGAGGAGGAGGAGGAGGAGGAGGAGGAGGAGGAGGAGAAGGAGAAACAGACAGACTGTGGCTCTCTGAGCTGGGTGGTTTCTTGCAGACGTTTCATGACCCAACTAGATAACATCATCAGTACTAGAAGGGAAAAGGAGGAGGTAGAGGAGGAGGAGGAGGGAGAGGAGGAAGGAGGAAGAGGGAGAAAGGAGAAGGAGAAGGAAGAGAAGGAGAAGGAGAAGGAGGACAGACAGACTGTGGCTCTCTGAGCTGGGTGGTTTTCTTGCAGGATTTCATGACCCAATAGGGAACATCATCAGTGTAGAAGGGAGAGGAGGAGGAGGAGAGGAGGAAGAGGAAGAGGGAGAAGGAGAAAGGGAAGGAGGAGGAGAAGGGAAGGAAGAGAAGGAGAAGGAGGACAGACAGACTGTGGCTCTCTGAGCTGGGTGGTTTTCTTGCAGACGTTCATGACCCAACTAGATAAATCATCAGTGCTAGAAGGGAAGAGGAGGAGGTAGAGGAGGAGGAGGGAGGAGAGGAGGAAGAGGAAGAGGAAGAAGGAGAAAGGAGAAGGAGAAGGAGAAGGAGAAGGAGAAGGAGAAGGAGAAGGGACTGTGGCTCTCTGAGCTGGGTGGTTTTCTTGCAGACATTTCATGACCCAACTAGGGAACATCATCAGTGCTAGAAGGAAGAGGAGGAGGATAGAGGAGGAGAGGAGAGAGAGGAAGAGGAAGAGGGGAGAGGAGAGGAGAAAGGAGAAGGAGGAGGAGAAGGAAGAGAGGAGAAGGGAGAAGGAGAAGGAGGACAGACAGACTGTGGCTCTCTGAGCGGGAGGTTTTCTTGCAGACATTATATGACCCAACTAAGGAACATCATCAGAGGTAGAAGGAAGGAGGGTTTGTGAGGAGGGACTCTAAGGTCCCTTACAACTCGGTTATTCTGTATACTGACAGGGGGCTGGACTAGAAGACCTCTAAGCTCCCTTCCAACTCGGTTTATTCTGTTATTCCCCCGCTTTAGCAGAGTCCGAAGACACGCTGATAGACTGCTGTGATTTAGCATCCATTTACACTCTTATCTTCCAACCAGCAGCAGGGGTATAAAAAATAAAAAAAAGGAAATATACCGTCCAATTTATGTTACGCACACTTCATTACAGAAGACACACAAACGGCTTTGGAAGGAACGAAATGTTTTTGACAACTTCCGAAAAGAGGCAATCCTTGAAGAAAGAGCGCCCCCTGGAGGTGAGATGCTGCGGCTGTCTCAGAAAGGAACCGCTTTGTTAAACCAGGATAGAAACCCGGGATGGATCAACCAGGGTTCTTAAACGTAACCTGAGTTCAATGTACAATCCAGCATAAATTTAAGTTGGAAAAAATAGAACCTAAGGTGAACACTGGCAGTCCTCGACTTACAACAGTTCATTCAGTGACCGTCCGAAGTTACAACAGCACTGGGAAAAAGTGACTTGGGGTCCCAACTGACTCATATTTATGACGGTTGCAGCGTCCCGAGATCCCTTCAGCGAGGGAAGCCAGACTCGCTTAACAACCGGGTTGCTACCTGAACAACTGCAGCGATTCACTTAACAGCGGTGGCAAGACGGGTCGTAAAATGGGACAAATTCACTTAACAAATCCGGCTTCCAAGTTGCTCCCAAACGCACTATTCAGGTTACCCGGAGGGGGAGGATATAAACCTCCAAGCGGCAACAATAACTCTCAGAGAGAGCACTAACGACCAGAGGACTGCACAGAATATAAATCCCTCGTTATTCGGTCAGAACTGAAGCAGCTCCTTGGATGAGAAGCGAGACCTCTTCAAAGGAAAAAAAAACAAAGAAAGTCCAATTGCCTTTTGAAAAAAAGCCAACCTAAAAATCAGTATGTTGAGAGTTATCGGTTAAAAAAAATAATAAAGGTGGGGGATACAGACAAATCGATAAATACAAATTAGGAAACGACGAATTTAGCAAGAAAGGATACCGGCGGCTCAGGGAGAAAAAGACCCGGAGCGGGACGGTGACTTACTTTCGGAGGTGTTCGTTCTCCTTCAAGAAAAGTTCCGTTCGCCTGTTGTTGACCCCACAACCGCTTTTGTACGACCTGAAAGGTGGGAAGAAAAAAATGAAAAAGAGAATTCAGATTTTTAAATAATGATGATTTATAGGCAGAGGTGAGCAACGGTGAATTCATTTGTTCCAGTCTTCCTCTGTTTTCTTAATTTTCCAAATCTTCCGTGCTTTGTTCCCTTATCTCATTTTCTCTTCTCTTTTCTTCATTTTCCTTCTCTTTCCTTCCTTCTCCCTTCCTTTTCTCCCCCTTTTTCTTCCCCTTTTCTTCCTCCTTCCTTTCTTCTCCCGTCCCTTTCCTTCTTCCTTCCTTTGTTCCTTCCTTCCCCTTTCTCTTTTATTCCTCTCTCCTTCCTTTCTTCCTTTCCTTCCTCTTTCTTTTCTTCCCCTTCCTTTCTTTTCTTCCTCTCTCCTTCTTTCCTAACTTTCCTTCCTTCCTTTCTATTTCCTTCCCCTTTCTTTTTTCTCCATTTCTTTCTTTTTTTCTCTTCCTCCTTCCTTCCTTCCTTCCTTTCCTCCTCCTTCCTTCCTTCCTTTTCCTCCCTTCCTTCCACTTTTATACAAAATGGAAGGCTCAGAATACCTCGTATAAAAAAGGGCTAAAAAAGTAAAACAGGATTTATGCCCCACAGTTTGGGATTCATATTCGATTACCTGTCTGCACTAACAAAGACAATCTCGAATTTTTGACCAGCATCTTTGATTTTCCGGTAAGATTCCACCAGAACCCGAGTGAGACTTCTACAAGGCGGGCACTGCAGAAAGAAAAAATAAAATAAATAAATAAAAGAATTAAAATTGAGGCAAACAGCCCAGGAATTCACTCCTCTAGGGAATCTCTGGATATATTACAAAAAAGACATTTCCCCTCCCCCCCACCCCCCGATACACGTGGAGGACTAGAAACTTAAGTGAGTTTTCCCTCAGCAAAATGCAGGACTACTAGCAAATGCAGCCACATAAACACCGTTACAAGCTAAGGATGAATCAGAAAACAGGTAGTTACCCTCGACTTACAACAGTTCATTTAGTGACCGTTCAGAGTTGCAGTGGCACTGAAAAAAGTGACTTGTGACCGTTTTTTTGCACTCGCGGCAAAACCGTCCCCACCGTCAGGTGATCAAAATTTGGGCGCAAACTGACTCATATTTATGACGGTCGCAGTGCCCCGGGGTCACGTGATTCCCCTTTTGCGACCTTCTGACAAGCCAAGTCCGCGGGGAAGGCAGATTCACTTAACAACCGTGTTACCAAATTCACTGCAGCGATTCACTTAACAACCGTTGCAAGAGAGGTTGTAAAATAGGGGAAAAGGGAACACACGTCCCACTTAGCGACAGAAATTTCGGGCTCCACTGCGGTCGTCACAAAATTCAGACACTGGCAAAGGACCCGTATTTATGACGGTCGCAGTGTCCCTGGGTCATGTGGTCCCCTTTTGCGACCAAATCAATGGGGAAGCCATAGATTCATTTAACAATTGCAATGATTCGCTTAAAAAAGTCGTAAAATGGGGAGAAAACCTCCCTTATTAACTGTCACGCTTAGTAACAGAAATTTTGGGCTCAATTGTGGTCGCAAGACAAGGACTACCTGTATGTAAGGTTTGCATTGTGGTCGTAAGACAAGGACTACCTGTATGTAAGGGATTCAGAAGTGCAGTCACGTGATCTGGAGCCCCCTCCCCCCCAAACCATCAGATCTTTGATTCCAGGTCGTAAGTTTCCCCCTTCCCACAACAGATCTTCAAACAGTTGCTAAGCAAACGGTTGTAAATCGAGAACTCCCCGTAATCCAAACCTGAAGCCGAATTTGTGCGATTTTTCAAGGAATGAGGAAAGATTCAGGACAACCCAGATGCAAATAGAGACACACACACCCCGAGACCCCCCCCCCCGGAAAGGAGGAAGGAGAAGTGAGGGTCTCACCCAGTGAGCAGAGAAGTAAACCCCGACGTGGGAACCTTCCAGAACGCTGCTTTCGAGGGGAGGCCCGCTATTTCGGAGAAGAGGGCCGGCCACCACCTCGCTGAATGGCCGAGGACCCCACGGGAACTCCAGGCCTGAGGGAGGAAAACAGAAAAGAGAATGGTCAAGAGCCACGGCGGCTGCCGAGAGATATTTTTATTTATTTATTTAATTAAAATGTTCATATCCCACCCAACTTTCCTTGAACGAGAGAGCCAGTATCGGTCCGGTGGTTAAGGTATCAGGCTAGAAACTAGGAGACAGTGAGTTCTAGTTCCTCCTTAGGCGTGAACTTTGGGCCAATCACCAAGGAGATGGTGAGTTCTAGTTCCGCCTTAGGTATGACTTTGGGCCAATCACCAGGAGAAGGTGAGTTCTAGTTCCACCTTAGGCATGAAAGCCAGCTGGGTGACTTTGGGCCAATCACCAAGTTCTGCCTTAGATATGACTTTGGGCCAATCACCAAGAGAAGGTGAGTTCTAGTTCCACTTTAGGCATGAAAGCTGGCTGGGTGATTTTGGGCCAATCACCAGGAGACAGAGAATTCTAGTCCACCTTAAGCATGAAAGCTGGCTGGGTGACTTTGGGCCAATTACCAAGGAGATGGTGAGTTCTAGTTCCGCCTTAGGTATGACTTTGGGCCAATCACCAGGAGAAGGTGAGTTCTAGTTCCACCTTAGGCATGAAAGCCAGCTGGGTGACTTTGGGCCAATCACCAAGTTCTGCCTTAGATATGACTTTGGGCCAATCACCAAGAGAAGGTGAGTTCTAGTTCCACTTTAGGCATGAAAGCTGGCTGGGTGATTTTGGGCCAATCACCAGGAGACAGAGAATTCTAGTCCACCTTAAGCATGAAAGCTGGCTGGGTGACTTTGGGCCAATTACCAAGGAGATGGTGAGTTCTAGTTCCGCCTTAGATATGACTTTGGGCCAATCACCAGGAGAAGGTGAGTTCTAGTTCCACCTTAGGCATGAAAGCTGGTTGGGTGATTTTGGGCCAATCACTAGGAGACAGAGAATTCTAGTCCACCTAAAGCATGAAAGCTGGCTGGGTGACTTTGGGCCAATTACCAAGGAGATGGTGAGTTCTAGTTCCGCCTTAGATATGACTTTGGGCCAATCACCAGGAGAAGGTGAATTCTAGTCCCACCTTAGGCATGAAAGCTGGTTGGGTGATTTTGGGCCAATCACCAGGAGACAGAGAATTCTAGTCCACCTTAAGCATGAAAGCTGGCTGGGTGACTTTGGGCCAATCACCAAGGAGATGGTGAGTTCTAGTTCTGCCTTAGATATGACTTTGGGCCAATCACCAGGAGAAGGTGAGTTCTAGTCCCACTTTAGTTGTGAAAGCCAGCTGGCTGGGTGACTTTGGGCCAATCACCAGGAGCCGTTGAGTTCTAGTCCCACCTTAGTTGTGAAAGCCAGCTGGGTGATTTGGGGCCAATCACCAGGAGACTGGGAGTTCTAGTCCTGCCATAGGCATGAAACCTGTTGGGTAACTTTGGGCCAGTCTCTCTCTCTCTCAGCCCAATCCACCTCACAGGGTTGTTGTTATAATTAAATATATATTTATAATTATATAATTATAAATATAATTATAAATATGTTGAGGTGAAAACAGAAGGAAGAAGCATTAGAAGTATGTTCGCTGCCTTGAGAGTTATTTATAAAAACAATACAGGCAGGAAATAAGATTGATAAATATATAAAATAAATAAAACATCCACTTGACTCCATAAAAAGGGCAACTTTGCTTAGAACGGGAAGGTATCCTAGATCAGGGGTGGAGAATGATGGCCTCTTTATGACTTGTGGACTTCAACTCCCAGAATTCCTGAGCCAACCATAGACTGGCATGGGCCATCGCTTCCCATGCTGGCTCAGGAATTCTGGGAGTTGAAGTCCATAAGTCATAAAGAGGCCATCATTCTCCACCTCTGTACCTAGATCAGAGGTGTCAATTTCATTGAGGACTGCATCAGGGCTGTGGTTGACCTTGTAAACAGTTTTTTTTATTGTTTTATACAGAAACAAACATATAATACATCAGTCATCCCGTGTGTCATCTCGGTGTTTCTTCAGTAACTTCTTTCTTCCTCTTGTTACTCCTCTTTTCTTTCTTTTTTTTTAAACAACATCCCTCTTACAATACAATATTTTCATTATATCATTTTCTTATTTAACCATTAAATTATTTATCCATATCTATTTTCCAACCAATGATAAAATTCTCCCCATATCTTAAAATATTCTGCGTCTTCTCTTTCTTTAATTTTCAAGTTTAGTCTATTCATTTCTGCACAATCTAAAAAATTTTTTAATCGCTTCCCCTTCCGAAGGGATTTTCTCTGCTTTCCATCAGGGTGGATTTGATTTAAATCGAGTCGATTTAAATCATGATTTAAATCATGATTTAAATCACTAGTAAAAAGACTTGATTTAAATCAACTCGATTTAAATCATAATTTTTAAAGAGCAACTGTCATCTCTGCTCCTCCTTTGACCCACCGTTGACTGACCGATAGTCCCAGTGTTGCAGAATCTACAGCCTCCTGCTACATAACTAAGCTCCATTTCATGCTGAATAAATTAAATTATTTATGTATCTTAAATAGAAAACTATCTCACAATAGATTTTTACCCCAAGTTTTTTATTAAAATAAATTCGATATAAAAATCAAAAAAATCTGATTTAAATAAAAAAATCCGATTTAAATAAAAAAAAATCTGATTTTTTGATTTTTTTTAAAAAATCATTGATTTTTATCCACCCTGCTTTCCATCTTTGCGCAAATACTATCCTTGCTACAGTTATTACATGTATAATCAAATATATATTTTCTTTACTAATTTTCTCTGGAAGGATACCCAGTAGGAATAGCTCAGATTTTAAGTCAATATGTTGTTGAATCATGTCTTCCAACCACATCTTAATTTTGCTCTAGTAATTCTAGCTTCTGGGCACGTCCACCACATTATGATAATGAGATCCTGGTGTCTGATGGCATTTCCAACACTTAGTTGATTTATCTTTAAAGTTTTTTGCTAATTTTTCCGGGGGCAGGGCTATGGTTGACCTTAAGGGTTCGGGTAGGCGTGTGGGTGTGGCCAGCTTGACGCCATTCCCCAAACTGCTGGCATGTTTCCTCTTCGCATTGGGTAGACCGGGCCGAAGCAATGCAAGCCGGCCCCTTACATTTTCCAGGACGTCCCCGTGGACCAGATCCGACCACATTGCGGGCAATGATGGGTTGCAGGAGGCTGCGGCAGCCGAAAACTTGCGGGACCACCTACTACCACCAATAGCCTCCCACCGGCCAGTACGCTCTCAGAGAGGGGCTCCTCCAGGTGCCGTCGGCCAAACATTGTCGACTGGCGGCCCCCAGGGGGAGAGCCTTCTCTGTGGGGGCACCTACTATCTGGAATGAGCTCCCCCCGGAGATACGGACGATCCCGGATCTGCGCACCTTCCGCCACGCTCTTAAGACCTTTTTATTCCACCAGGCGGGCCTGGCCTAACTTTCTCCCTCTTTTTAAACATTTTAAATATTTTTAATATTTTTTAGTATTTTTAATATTCAAAGTTTAAATTTGTTTTAAATTGATTGGGGTTTTAAATCTGTCTGGGCTAAATTATTTAATTCGATTTTATCTCTGCTTTTTCAATTTTGTATGTATGTATTTTATTGTTGGCTGTTCACCGCCCTGAGTCCTTCGGGAGTAGGGCGGTATATAAATCAAATGAGCCTTGATAGTACAGTGGTCTACACACCCTGTTATTAACACAGCTGCCTGCAATTTACTGCTGGTTCGAATCTCTCCAAGGCTCAAGGTTGACTCAGCCTTCCATCCTTTCTAAGGTAGGTGAAATGAGGACCCAGTTTGTGGGGGCAATAAGCTGACTTTGTATTAAAAAATATACAAAAGTATGAAGGCTATTGCTTAACGCATTGTAAGCCGCCCTGAGTCTCCGGAGAAGGGCGGCATATAAATCAAATAAAAAAATAAAAAAATAAAAGTAAAAGTAAAGTAAAGTAAAATAAACGGACCTTGGGAGCCCGTTTTCGCTGGCAGAGCACTATGGGCCACCATAGGCGCCCTTGATATGAGTTACATCGAGCTGGCCACGCCCCCTGGCCACGCTCCCCCCCCCGCAGTCAAATACAACCCGGATGCGAGTTTGACACCCCTGATCTAGATGGACGGGAAGAATTCTGTTGGACCAATCGGGAACCTGCTCCGTCTTCCGCTTACCTTCCGGGTCATCTCGGATCACCAAGAGGCCATTCCGACAAACCACTTTCCCAGTGTTGGCATCTATAAATATCAGCGAGGGGATGTTGGAAACCCGGAATTTGTTCCACAGTTTCAACTGGCAGGGCAGAAAAGAAAAAGAACAAAAAAAAAAAAAAAAGAACAAAAGAAAGAAAAGAGAATTAAAAACACACGATGGAACCAGAAATGCAATTCTCACACACACACACACACACACACACACACAAACCAGGGAAAGAAATTATCTGTATGTAGGCCAGTGATGGCTAACCTTTTTGCCATCGCGTGCCAAAAGTGGGGGGAGCACAGGGGTGTCGCACGTGCATGTGCCCACACCCATAATTCAGTGCACCCGCCCCACCGTGCATGTGCGTGTGACCCCACCCATGTTCTCCCTGCTATTGGCATGAGATGGCACAATGGGACCGGAAGGCCCGTTTTTCGCCTCCCCAGGCTCCAGAGCCTTCCTAGGAGCCTGGGGAGGGCAAAAACAGCCTTCCCCAACCCCACCGGAGGCCCTCCGGAGGCCGGAAACGACCCATTTCCAGATTTCCGGTGGGTGTCAGGTTTCGATGTCGTCTCAAATAAAATAAATTGCACTTCCAAACAAATAGTCTTTGAAGAAATCTTTCATTTATTAAGCACGACAACCTGTCCCCGATCGTGGCGTAGCCAACTCTGACTTCCTGACCCCAAACCTTCCCTTTCCGTTCCCCAATTCTCTGCGTCTCATTGGCCCTCTTCCAAATCACTCTCCCCATATCTACTACTTCAGCTCCCAGGAATGTCCCTCCTCCCATCTCATCTCCTAGGGGATATTATCTTCAGGGAAAATAAGTAGGTGAGAAGTCAAGCGTCCTCTTGCCAGCTGCCCCCTCTTCTCCTTCTTATGTCAGCACTAGAGTAAATGCAGGTTGAAGTGCTGACATCGGGCCTGGAAGGCCCGAAAATCAGCTGGCCTGCATGCGCACGTGCGCTGGAGCTGAGCTATGGCAACGCTTGCGTGCCCACAGATATGGCTCCGCGTACTCCTGTGGCACGCGTGCCATAGGTTCGCCATCACGGATGTAGGCCGTCCTCCATTGACGACCCTTTGTTTAGAGACCGTTTGAAAGTTACAAGATGATTTACGACCAGTCCTCACACATACGACCGTTGCAGCAATCCCTTCCCCTCACAGTCACATGATCGAAATTTGGGCACTTGGCAATATTTACAACGGTTGCGGCAAGCGGAGATCACGTGAACTCTATTTGTGACCTTCCCAGCCGGTTTCCAATGAGCAAATGGAGGGAAGCCAGATTCACTTAACAACCAGGCGATTCATTTAACAACTGCAAAGATTTACCTAACAACCCCGGCAAAAAAGGTCATTAAAATCAGGCGCAACTCACTTAACAACCGCCAGGCTTAGCAACAGACATTCTAGTCATAACACGAGGACTATCTATATCACGCTTGCTTGATTCCCGTAACAACTGCAATGATTAATTTAAAAACCACCGCAGAAAAAGGTCATTAAAATCAGGCGCAACTCACTTACCAACCAAAATTCTGGTCGTAAGTTGAGGACTATCTATGTAATGCTCGATTGATTCACTTAAGAACTGGACTGATTCACTTAACCACCGTGGTAAAAATGGTCGTAAAAATCAGGCGCAACTCACTTAACAACCTCCAGGCTTAGCAACAGACATTCTAGTCATAACTCGAGGACTATCTATATCACGCTTGCTTGATTCCCGTAACAACTGCGATGATTAATTTAAAAACCACCGCAGAAAAAGGTCGTAAAAGCAGGCGCAACTCACTTAACGACCAAAATTTTGGCTGTAAATCGAGGACTACTTACATAAAGCCTGATTATAATCTGGTTTTGGCTCACAATTCAGAGAGTAAGCAGCTTCGCATCGCTTTAAGAATTACTTCTCCGCAAGCCAGTTGGTGAATTGGCAGTTTCCCTTCCAAATCTGTGCACGATGGGAGTTGAGATCCAATATATCCAGAAAGCCACAAATTGCCGAAGCCTTAAATTCATGCAGCTTAAAACACACACAAAATTGAAATAAAACCTCTCTCTGGTTTATTCAGCCACCGGATTCTTTTGCAATAAATGGATTAAATGAACGTACAAGGAGTAGCTACAAAAATGGGAAGCGAGAAGGGGAAAAAAAATATGCATTCCTCATTTTATTTTTTATTCAGGAAGGAAGGAAGGTTGCTTTGAGGGCACGCTGGGCGCGAACCAGGGGTGGGTTCTAAAACTTTTTACTACCTGTTCTGTGGGCGTGGCTTATTTTGTGAGTGTGGCTTGATGGTCATGGCCTTGCAGGCCTTTCATTACCTAATTGGGTAACATCATCACTGCTAAAAAGTGGAGTTTACAGGAAGGAGGAGGAGGAGGAGGATGGAGAAGGAGGAGGAAGGAGGAAGGAGGAAGAGGAGGAAGGAGGAAGAGGAGGAAGGAGGAGGAGGAGGAGGAAGGAGGAAGAGGAGGAAGGAGGAAGAGGAGGACGACGAAGGGGAAGAGGAGGAGGAAGGGGAGGAGGAAAAGGAGAAGGTGGAGGAAGGGAAGGAAGAGGAGGAAGGGGAGGAGGAGGAGGAAAAGGAGGAGGAGGAGGAGGAAGGGGAAGAGGAAGGAAGAGGAGGAAGAAGAGGAGGAAGAGGGAGAGGAGGAGAAGGAAGGGGAAGAGGAGGAGGAAGGGAAGGAAGAAAAGGAGGAGGTGGAGGAAGGGAAGGAAGAGGAGGAAGAGGAGGAGGAAGAGGAGGAAGGAGGAAGAGGAGGACGACGAAGGGGAAGAGGAGGAGGGAGGAGGAAAAGGAGGAGGTGGAGGAAGGGAAGGAAGAGGAGGAAGAGAAGGAGGAAGAGGAAGAGGAGGAAAAGGAGGAGGAGGAGGAGGAAGGGGAAGAGGAAGAGGAAGGAAGAGGAGGAAGAAGAGGAGGAGGAGGGAGAGGAGGAGAAGGAAGGGGAAGAGGAGGAGGAGGAAAAGAAGGAGGCGGAGGAGGAAGGGGAAGAGGAAGAGGAGGAAGAGGAGGAGGAGGAAGGAGAGGAGGAGGAGGAAGGGGAAGAGGAGGAGGAAGGGGAGGAGGAAAAGGAGGAGGTGGAGGAAGGGAAGGAAGAGGAGAAGAGAAGGAGGAAGAGGAGGAAGGGGAGGAGGAGGAGGAGGAAAAGGAGGAGGAGGAGGAAGGGGAGGAGGAAAAGGAGGAGGTGGAGGAAGGGAAGGAAGGAGAAGAAGGAAGAGGAGGAGGAGGAGAACTGTGGACTCCTTGGTGCTCCTTGGGGTTTTTGCAGACGTTTCATGACCCAACTAGATAACTTCATCAGTGCCAGAAGGGAGGGTGGTTTATGGTGACGAGGAGGAGGGAGGAGGAGGAAGAGGGGAGGATCATGAAATGTCTGGGGGGGGGAAAAACCCCAAGCACAGAGAATACCAAGAATCCTAGAATCATGCTCCTCCACCTCACCACAAACCCCACTCCCTTCTAACACTGATGACGTTAGCTAGTTGGGTCAAGAAACGTCTGCAAGAAAACCCCAATTTCAGAGAGCATCAAGGACCCCAAAATCTTCTTCCTCCTCCTGCTCCTCCTCCTCCTCCACTCCCATCCCTTCTAACACTGATGATGTTACCTAGTTGGGTCATGGAACATTTGCAAGAAAACACAACCAAGCTCCGAGAGCACCAAGAACCTACAGTTCTCCTCCTCCTCCTCCTCCATTCTCTCTCCCTCCTAGCACTGATAATGCCACCTAGTTAGGTCAGGAAACGTCTACAAGAAAACCACCCACCTCAGAGAACCCCCAGCACTCCACAGTTCAACCCCGAGCTCCAAATATTCTCTTCCACCGTTAAAACCCGCAACGCGCAGATCCGCCTCCCGTAATCAGAACCCCGATGGCGCTACGACGTCGAACGAAAGTCCATTTCTTCCACCGCCGTTTAACCGCCCCGCTGGCTGGCTCATTCGGCCGCTCAAATCGGAAACCTTTCGGCTGCAGCCATTCAACTGAGGACACTCGCTCGCTTGCTCGCTCGCTGGCAACCTTCCGACCCCTAAGACGGAGGAAGAATTTGAAGAGGCCGCAGGCTTTGGAGGCGGCCCAAGGAGATCTATTTGCAAACTCTCTTCAAGCCGAGTGTCCACTTCAAACCGGCCAAATCCTCCTGTTTGTTTGGCCTGCACCTTCCAGAAGAGCCTCTGGTGGGTGGTTTGGGTTGCGTCAGCTTTTTTGGCCGGCCGACAAGCCAAGGGCTTTTGTCCTCGGGTTACAGCTGAACCCGTGTGGCATGAGAGCCGACGGCGCAGGAAGCCGAGGGCCGTCTCGGGGAATGAAAAGACAGATTTCGCTAGCAAAGGAGAAGGAGGAACGCAACGCGACCAACACAAGCGGAAGGGGATGAAGGACCGAGAGGTTGACTCAGGAAAAGGTTATTACAGGCAATCCTTGACTTACAACCACCAGAATCGGGGCCAAAACAATTTCTGTGGCTAAGCGAAACGTTGGTTAAAGTTGGTAAGTTTTGCAACCTTTCTTGCCACAGTTGTTAAGTGGATAGGATAGGATAGGATAGGATAGGATAGGATAGGATAGGATAGGATAGGATAGGACAGGACAGGACAAGACAAGATAGGACAGAATAAGAGGACAGGACAGGACAGGACAAGAATAGGACAGGATAGGATAAGAATGGAATGGAATGGAATAGAATAGAATATGGGGATAAAATAGAATAGAATAGAATAGAATAGAATAGAATAGAATAGAATAGAATAGAATAGAATAGAATAGAATAGAATAGAATATGGGGATAGGATAGGATAGGACAGGACAAGATAGGACAGAATAAGAGGACAGGACAGGACAGGGACAGGGACAAGGACAAGGACAAGGACAGGATAGGATAGGATAGAATAGGATAGGATAGGAATATGGGAATAGGATAGGATAGGATAAGAATGGAACGGAACGGAACGGAACGGAACAGAACAGAACAGAACAGAATAGAATATGGGGATAGCACAGGATAGGATAGGATAGGATAGGATAGGATAAGAATGGAATAGAATAGAATAGAATAGAATAGAATAGAATAG